CCATGTTAAGGAATTGACCCCCTTTTAAGTTACATAATGATCACCTTTGTCTCTTTTTCTGTTTTCAATGTGAAGTCTACTTTATCTTGTTACTTTGCTTCTTTTTGGTTTCTATTTGCATGCAATAGCTCCTTTGCATTCCTTCACTTTTACCCGATGTGTGCTCTGAAAGCTGATTACAGTCTCCTGTAGGCAGCATTATGCTGGCTCTTTAAAAGTAGTCAGCCATTTGGGTCCTCTGTAAGAGCAGCCAGTGCAGTTAACCACTGAGCCATCTCTCCAGTCCCTGAAGGTACTCTTTTGAAAAATATTTTATTTCTATTTTATGTGTATGAGTGTGTTGCTTGCATGCATGTAAGTGCACCCATGTCATGCAATGCCTGCAGAGATCAGAAGAGGGCATTGGATTTCACTGGAGCTGGAGTTATGAACTGTTGTTAGCCACCATGTGGGTGCTGGGAATCAAACCTGGGTCCTCTGCAGGAGCAGCCAGTGTTCTTAACCACTGAACCATCTTTCTAGTCCTCTGAAGGTATTTTACCTGCTTCTTCCTATCAGTCTTTACCTGCTTTTTGTTGGGTAATTATGTTTCTCTTACCCCCCACCCCTCTTGGTGTTTTTGAGACAGAGTCCCCCAGTTCACTTTTTTGACTGACTTTTTAAACCATTTTATTAATGTCTATTTTTATAGAATTTGTGAACATTTTATACATCTGCTCAGGTTTGTGTACTCAGCTAACCCTTGGTATGAGTTCATCCACTGGAGCTATTCAGCCTATCTAGTGTCACTCAAAGAAGATTGACTTAAGACATATTTTTGTTATGCAGCCTAGGCTAGCCTTCAATTCCATATGTAGCTTATGTTGGCCTCAAACTTGGGCAGTCCCCTGCCTCATCCTCTCCAATGCTAGTATTACAGGCATGCACCACCATGCCTGACTTCTTTATCCCGTTTTTTATGTTTATGGGTTTGGAAGTTGTACGTAATTTATTTGCTCTCTATGCTTCCTTGCATCTCACCCAAACACATATATTTTTATTTTCTGTTTTTCATCTTCCTGAAAATATCCTTTAAAAAATCTTTTAGCAGAAGTCTGGTAATAGTAAATGCTGATTTTTGCCTGAAATCTATTTTATCTTCATTTTAAATGGTTAATTTGGCATACAATTATGTTAACATTAGAAGCTATTTCATTAATTCTGGTTTATTTTGCTGCTATGGCAAAACAAGTTGTCATTCCTTTATAAGTATTTTATTTTTCTATTTACTAACTTCAGTTTCCTCTTTTATTTTCCTTAAATTTTACTACAATGTTAGTTTGCATTTGGGAAATATTCTCTGAAGTGGATTGCTGTATCAGAAAAAAAGTTCTTTGAGCCTTCCTAGATAATGCCACATTGTTTCCCAAAGTGACTGTCTTTTCACTACTATGAGTACATATTACATTATAGCATATGAATTTTTGCCTGTATATCTTATATTTAAAAAAGACTGCTGTTGTTTGGATGCCTTATTCATTTATTTATTTTTGGTCTTTTTGGGACAGGGTCTCCCTGTAGCCCCAGCTGACCTGGAACTCACTATGTAGACCAGGCTGGCCTCAAACTCAAGAGCTCTGCCTGCCTCTGCCTCCCAAGTGCTGGAATCAAAGGCATGCACCACCACACCTGCCTCGTTTGGATGCCTTAAATAAATAATTAAAAAGTTGAAGTTGTGTCTCAATCTTCTTAGATATATAAAGAAGGGAAACAACTCATTTCTCCTAGAAAAATGACAATTTTTTTTAGGCATTAACATTAAACAGACTTATTTTCATTTGATCTTTCTTAACTCCTTTAAAATAAACTTTGCTGAAAAATCCCTCCTCTTTCCCTGTTTTAAACTTTTAACCATCCTGTAAAATTATTATCTTGAAACTTGGCAAAAATAATGGGAGTCTCCACTAAATGGTCAAAAATTCCTGGAAGCAATTTTTAGAAGTTCTGTTTGTTACCTTTTCAAACTTGCCTATTACAAACATATATGACTGTAATAATTTTTTGGTTAATCATTCATGTTTCTGATGGAGCTCAGTAAGTAGACTGCATTCTTTTTAGAATTTATTGGATTACTTTGAAGCTATGTTAGACAAGCAATTTGGAATGTGATCTTTTCTGTTGTTTGCCGTCTTGTAGGATTTTGGAAATGGGAAATTCTACAAAAATTACTCTTTCAGGCTATCTGTATTTTTTAGGAAGATTAGAGCTGTCAGATACAAAGCTTGAAAAGCTCATTCCCTCTTATTTTTTAAAATCTCACTACATAGGTCAGGCCTCAATCTGGTTTACCATACTAAGTGCTGGGATTATCAGCATGTGCCACCATGCCTGGCTTTTATTTTTATTTAGTATTTGTATTTATTTCAATGTCGAGACAAGGTAGCACATATCCTAAACTGCTGGCCTTAAATTCTCTATGTAGCTGAAGAGGATCCTGAACTTCTGATCTCCTGCCTTCACCTCCTGAGTGCTGGGACTACAGGCTTGCCCTACCACACCCAGCTTTTGTTTTTATGAGATAATTAGTGGTGTTTTATCATTATGTACCCTATTAAATTCTTCATGTTCTTGAAAAACCATAACTAAAAAAATTATATATTCCATGCTGCCTTCTAATCTGCCTAGTTCAATACAAAGGGGAGGAGAGGATAAATATTTCTATAAAATATACTATTGTCTGCCTAAATGTAGTACAAATACATTATCTTGCTTATTTCTGAGGGAACTATATACTTACTGTGATCTACAGAGCCGACTAAAACCAGAAGCAAAATGTGAACTTAAAGAGCCTTTATTTAAAGAATTAACAGACTTGTTCTATGCTTTGTTTTTTTTTAACTTATAAAATATGGACTTAAATTTTTTATATCATGCAAGAAATCTGATTTAATATAAAGAACCACTTTGAGATACTTTAATGAGAAAATGCTTATAAAGATATGGTAAGTATATTTATAATAATTACTCTAATTCTCATTCTGATATTCCCAGTCCTGATCTTTATGATTTTTTTTTTTTTTTCCGGTCTTTTTGAAACAGGGTCTCCCTGTATCCCCAGCTGGCCTGGAACTCACTATTTAGACCAGGCTGGCCTTGAACTCAGTAAGATCTGCCTGTTTCTGCCCCCCAGGTGCTGGAACTTCAGGCATTTGCACTGTGCCCAGCCTTTATGACTTTCTTTAAAGTAGAACTATCCCAGGCTCTCAAAAAGACCAAAAAAAAAAAAAAAAAAAAAAAAAAGAACTATATAAATATCTTCTCAATTAATAAAATTTAATATATAGACTATACAGTCACAGGGCACACAGATGATGAAAGTATCTTTGATAGCTTTTAATTTTCAAAATTCATTTATGTTCCCCCACCCACTTTTCTGTAATTCTGAGCCCCGTGCTTGCTAGGCAAGTGTTCGACACCTCAAATTTGATCTTTAAATTGCTTGTATGGTACTTGGAGTAGGTCCTAATTAAAAAGGCACAAAAAAGAAATGTCTTTCTCCTATTCTATGTCCAATCTACTTGGGCTTCCAGAAGCAATTAAAGCTACAAGTTACATCCAATGTTTTACCGTTCTTCAAAATTAAAACTCCCCTCCGCCTTTAAAAGGTTTAAAAGGATTTGAAATCTGCAAGGGTTTAAAGGCGCCTTATTGTAGGGCATTTCAGAATCCGGCCATCTCTGCACCAACTTTGAGACAGGGTCTTTCTGTAGCCCCAGCTGTCCTGGAGTTACTATGTAGACCAGGCTGGCCTTGAACTCGGAGATCCTCCTGCCTCTGCCTCCCGAGTGTTGGGACTTCAGGCGTGCGCCAACACGCCTGGCTAAATTTTTTATTTTTATTTACTTATTTATATATAGACAAGGTCATACTATGTAGCTCTGGCTGGCCTGGAACATGCTATGTAGTCCAGGCTGACAGAGATTCGCTTGCTTCTGCCTCCAAAGTGCTGGGATTTAAAGGCATGCGCCACCATGCCTGGCTACTCCACGTATTTTATATTTTTTGTTTTTTTAGGACAAGGTCTCTCTTGGAGCCCCAACTGGCTTATGTAGACCAGGCTGGTTTAGATCTCACAGAGATCAGCCTGCCTTTGTCTCAGGAATGCAGGCATTAAAGGCGTGCACCACGACGCCCCAGCAAGCCACATTAAAAAACAAACCAAAACATCAAAAACTAGTTGTTTGATAACTGTTAATCTATGTGGTTGGTCCAGGTAATTTAAATCTAGTAGCTAGGTTTAGGGTCGGAACAGCCAGTTGGAGAATGGCTTAACAGAACCGCAGGGCCGGATGTCGGTTCACCAGGAGGTGACAGGGATTTTGAAAGGCGGTTTAGGGGACTGAATCACCGGGTTTGGATTTTGCTGAGCCCCAGGATGGCGCGTGCCAGGCCGGGAACGCTGAGGTCAGCTCGGCTCCCGGCCAGACTTGGGCGGCTCGCACCGCCCGCACCCGACCCGGATTCCTAGGCAAGGCGTCGCCTAGTCCGGTCTCCCCCACCAACGACCGCCTGTCCGCAGGGCGGGGAGCATGACACCTCGGGGCTGCCGAGAGCAGGTCCGGCGGGTGCAGGGACGGGAAGGCGGAGGCTCCAGCAGGCCTCGCCATTGAGGTTGCACAGCCGCCTCTAGGCCCAGCGCCCCTGCGACCCCGCGGCCTCGCGCTCGCCACACACCAACTCTCGCCCCGCCGGCGCAGGGCTGTCCAGGGCGGCTTCTTCACTGCGCTGGGGTTTTCAGAAAGCCGCCCCACCCTGCCCTTCCCTTCCCTTTCGGGAGAAACGCTCACGCGGCCCAAAACGAGACTCGCGAACTGGGCACATCTCCCAGCCGAGCTGGAGCACACCGCACCGCTTGGCTAGCGAGCGGGCGGACCCTTGACGAGCAGCTCTGGGGTCCAATGGCACTTCTCTACCTTCAGGGGCGGGGTGGTGGTGGGCCAATGAGGCGTGCGGGGGCGGGACTTCCGCCCTCCAAGCTGTTGTCGTCCCTGCTCGGTGGCGGTGCTGGGTGAGGGGGTTGCGTGCGGAAATTCAGTCATGAAGTCCGGGTAGGGACTTCTCCCGCAGCTCGGTGACCGCGAGCCTGGGTTCCGGGGCCGGACTTCCAGGTAAGAGCCTGTGCGGCGCGGCAGCGGTGGGCGGGGGTTGTCCCCGCGGGGCCGGGGCCTGGAGAACACACCCCCTCGGGCTGCGCTGGCGCCGTCGATCCGCGGCGGGGACCAGGGCTGCGGCTCTGCGCTGAGTGCTGCTGCAGCCCAGGCCCGCGTCCCCGAGGACCGAGTCTCCCCCGCTGCCCATCCCACTAGCCTGTCTGTGCAGAGTTGTCGGGCTGTCTGTTTTGTTACTCATCTTCCCTTCCCGACGTGGCCCGGGCCTGGGAAGCTCCTAAAAGCCTTGGTACGGCCCTTGCCTCCGAGACCGGGTAAAACCGTTGGGGGCTTTTTTTTTTTTTTTTTTTTTTTTTAAAAAAAAAAAAAAAAAAAAAAAAAAAAAGAGGACGATAGCTTCCTTTCGTAGCCCATTCCCTTTTCCTTCCCCTAAAGCTCAGATTGCAGGCTTAGACGTGACCTTGCCAGGGCCAGATCCCGCTTCTCTACACTCCAGAAGACAGCAGCTCTGCTGGGGCGATTGAGTGACCTGTTCCTAAGGGAGTGGGCAGATAGCGAAGCCAAGAGATAGTGTCTCAGAAACAACTTCGGTGGCCGTCACTGCAAATTCTCCTTATTTTGGTAAATTCCTCTATTTTGTCCTAATCTGGCACTAATTTCCCAAACTCCGTTTCCATCCTCAATTTCAGCACCGTGGGCAGCTGCTGAGAGCCTCTGTTGCCCCAAACCTGCCTGGGTGTTGCTTGCTGTTCATTGACAGTGATGCAGTAACAGTGAAAACTGCATTCTTTTAAACAGCGCTGCGGTGTTCTCCTAGGGAACGTCTGCACTTTTTGATACCTTACTGGGTGTGCCTCTAAAGAGCCAGGGAAACAGATCGCTTAAAAATTTGCTTAAAGATTTAAGGAAGAACTTCGGGGTCTTTAAGTTACTTATGACAGGATCCCTCTGTGGAGCCCAGCTTGACCTCGAACTTTTCATCCTTCTGTCTCTGATTATGGGATTACTGGGCCATCAAGCTGGATTTAAAGACAGTTTTTAATGGGTCAACGAGATAACTCCATTTCACAGTAACACAGCTGGCCTGTGGAGGTTTAAAGAGGAGTTAACAAGTGTTCAGTGCTGTAGTGCAGGGCCCATAGGGATTCATTAATGAATTTTGTAATTAATTTATGGAGGAAGAGTGAATATTATAACATGAGGCTTTTGTTTCAGTGTTAAAAAAAGTGTGTATGTGTTAAGAGGAAGATGTAAAATATTGTGGATTTCAGGAAAACTAAAGTTTCAAAATACTGAATCAAAAATTTGGCAGTCAGACCAGATTCAGCTCTGCAGTGTTCATCAATAAAGGAGGAAAGGGCTGTTGAGATAACTCAGTAGGTAACTGTGTTTGCTGAGCAAACCTGTGGACCTCAGTTCAATTCCTGGAACTCCTGTAAAGGTGGCAGGAGAGAACCAACTCCTCAGCAGAGTCCTCTGTCCTCCACATGATCCCTGTGATGCATATCATATCATATACACCCACATCATACACACATTAACTACCTAACAATAAATAAAAGAAGTTAAGGAAAAATGAAGAGTAAGTGAATTAAAGTAGGTCTGTTACATAGTTAATCTTTATTTTTAAAAACTGGTCGGTAGGCCAGGTATGGTGGTCCACGCCTTTAATCCCAGCCCTCAGGAGGCAGAGGTAGGCAGATGTCTGAGTTCAAGGTCAGTGTGGTCTACATAGTGAGCTCTAGGCCAGCTGGGGCTACAGGGTGACCCTGTCTCAAAAACGATTTGAAACAAAACAAAACAAAACAAAAAAAAGGGAGTGGAGAGATGGCTCAGCGGTTCTTGCAGAAGACCTGAGTTCAAATCCCAGTACCACATGGCAGCTGACAACTGTCCATAACTCCAGTTCCAGGAGATCCGACAGCCTCTTCTGACCTCCGTGGGCACTGCATGACATGGGTGCACTTACCTACACACAGACAATACATACATACACATAAAAATAATAAATGAAATATTAAAAAAAAAAACTGGTTGGAGGAACCACAGTTACTTCTCCCTGTTTGAGGAATGACAACATGTATGCTTTCCTCTGCTTTTCCTGAGTAGCTTGATGTCTTCATGTGTAATGTAAATCATGTGGGCAAAGTCTTGCTTAGGGAAGCTGAATACTGAGGGTTTGGGACTCACTTCTCGTTTACCCTTGTCATTTCTCTGAAGCCTTTTGGAGGCCCAGGTTGTGGCCAGCACTTACCTTTTCTCCTTTGATGTTTCTGCATCTCAGAGTGATGGATTTTACATCAGCTTTTCAGGCACTAATTTCAGCAAAGTAAGGGGACGATAGGGGTTTAAATATAGGTTTAGGTTTATATTAGCTAGCAAGACATTCTATGTTTTGCAGTTCTTGCTACAATATGTATTAATCGACATGATCAAATTATGGTATACTTCATGTTAGTATGAACTAAAAATAGTTGGATTTTAAATAAAAATTATGATTTTGGACATTTTAAACTCTGAGAATAATGTATAGCAGAAAGCAAAATGAGTAAACCAGAATGCTGATCTTCTCCATTTGACATGTTATTACCATATGGTGTTGGATATGGTGGTTTTCTATGACACAAAAGGAGTTCATGAGCATTAATTTTCTCAAAAGAGGCAACAAAATTAGTAGACATGTGAATTCATTTTAATAAGGCATGGTGGTTAACCATGGCTTAGAAATTTATATTTTCTATAGATAATTGTTGAGCACATATAAAACATGGAATTAAACTTTTATGAAGATTTTGCACTCCACAGAGATTGGTTTAAGGATAATGAAAGTTCATTGATTCCTATTGTCCAAGTTTATATAGTATGCAACCAAACAGTAATATTAACTGACATTTACTATGGGCCAAGTAGATTTCTTTGTACATTGTATTATCTCATAGAGTGCTCACAATCATCAGTTTGGTAGATCGTGCCATTGTGCTTAGTTTTCTTTAATATTTTATTTATTTATTTATTGATTGATTGATTGATTGCACCTGCATGCCACAGTGCATGTGTGGAGGCCAAAGGATAGCTTGTGGGAGTCTCTTCTCTCCTATGATATGGGATCTGGGGAGCGAACTCATGTCATTAGGTTTGGCCGCAAGTGCCTTTACCTCTAAGCTGTATTGCTGGTCCTATTACACCTTTTACAACAAAAAAAACTTTCTTCTTAAATTTTTTAAATTTTTATTTATTTTACTTTTTTTTTTTTTTTGTCTTTTTGAGACAGGGTCTCCCAGCTTTTTGAGACAGCTCTCTAGCCCCAGCTGGCCTAGAACTCACTATGTAGACCAGGCTGGCCTCAAACTCACAAGAGGTCTGCCTGCCTCTGCCTCCCTGGGAGAGTGCTGGGATTTAAAGGTATGTGCCACACCTGGCTTAAATTTTTTTAAATGTGTGTGTTTATGTGAGTATGTAGCATGTGTGTGGGGGGGTGCCTATGGAGGCCAGAGGCCAGAAGAGGGTGTCAGCTGCCCTGGAGCTAGAGTTTCAGGCAGTTGTAAGCTGCTTAATGTGGGAACTAACATCGGGTCCTCTGGAAGAGCAGAAAGCATTCTTAACTACCCAATCCCTCCCCACACCCATTTTGATAGATGGGGAAGGTCAGGCATCTCAGATGAGTTCATGCAGGTACTCAGTGGAGTAGTTGGAATTTGACCAAGTATATATTTGAACCTCAGTGTTTACATAAAGCCTATCCCTTTGTGTCACATTGTGGGGCTGTGGGTAGAGTTCTTGCTGCACAGGCATGAAGACTTGAGTTCAGATCCCTAGCACACAAGCGAAGAAGCTGAGAGTGGCCTATAAATCTGTATTGTAAGATGAGCTTCTTGGCCACTAGCCTAGCTGAAAAACCAGAGCCCAAGGGTCATTGAGAGACCCTTTAGAGTGACACAGGAGGACACTCAGTGTCCTCTGGCCATCGCAAGTACATGTATCTGTACATACGTGAACACACACAAATAGCTGTTCCCAGTAGCTGAGTTATTTTGAGTTCTTAGTTGCTGGTGACTTTGGGTAATTCCCTAGTTTCTTTAACTCTTTCCACTTAATCTTTGGACATTGGGACAATTTGTAAAGCACCAGACGGAATGTGTTCAGAAAATAATAGACCTCAGCCTTGTTCTTTCATTGAGGATGTAGCCATCTGAATGATTGTTAGGAAATGGAGCAGAGTGGGAGAAGAAAGAGTCATTATGAGGACACTGCCAGAGCACAGAGCACAGGAAGGAAAGCCAGGGAATCTTTGTATTTGCCAAGGTTGTATAACAGGCTGATAAAGATAAATGGAAAGAGATTGTTGAGATTCTTGAATGCCAGACCAGTAATTTTATATGTGATTTTTAGTTGAGAAGAATCCCTCTTTATGAACATTCATTTGAGCATGAAGGTCCAGTGAAGAGGTAGAAGCCTGGAGGCAGGAATTCCATAGCCCCTAGACAAAGCCTGATGATTGTAATGAAGGATAGGTTTGAAAAAATTAATACGGCATTGGGAACTAACAGGATTTGAGCCTAAGACAAATTTCTGGGATATTGACACTGTTAACATTTATAAGGATATGATGAACAAATTGTAGTTGACAGAAATTTAGAAAGCGAATGATGGGGAATTTAGTTCTGGTACTTGAGAAGACATGTGGAAAGGCAAAATAAACATTTGAAGCTTTGTATTCTTTAAGAAGGGGCCAGGGGCTGCCTGAAGAGATGGCTCATGGCTGCTCTTGCAGATTCCCAACACTCACATGGCAGCTAACAATCATCCATAACTCCAGTTTCAGGGAATCTGACACCCTCTTCTGACCTCCGTGGGCATTGCACAACACAGGTGCACTACATACATGCAGTTAAAACACTCATGCACATAAAATGAAAATAATAAATACAATATTAGAAAAAAAAAAAAAAGGGAAGAGAATGTGCTTACACTGTGAAGAAATGGCCTAAAACAGTCATTCC